CATATTCTGAGATGCATGATATTCATTTTAGTTAAGTCCATTTCAATAAATTAGGTGTGTTAAAGTCTGTAAAAGATTGAATGCAATTTTATGTAGGATGAGAACTTCATTTTTACTAATCTGTGCTTTTTCTTTCTTTCTTTCTTTCTTTTTCTTCTTTCTTTCTTTCTTTCTTTCTTTCTTTCTTTCTTTCTTTCTTTCTTTCTTTCTTTCTTTCTTTCTTTCTTTCTTTCTTTCTTTCTTTCTTTCTTTCTTTCTTTCTTTCTTTTTTCTTTCTTTCTTTCTTTCTTTCTTTCTTTCTGTGTGTGAAATACTTCTGCATATAGATTAGATTTGCTTAGACACAAGGGAGTCAGTTAGTAGACCTTACATGATTTCACCTCTCCTCGAATTGGTGGGAAATCCTTTTTTTTCTGTAAATATTGATGGTTTTATTTTTATTATAGACATTGCAATTACTATAATGTTATAGACATTAGTAACAGCAATATAACATAACATTAAATGATTTTGAAAATCAAAGAAAAGGGTAAAAGGCGAGACAGGTAATACTCATAATTGGCTCATTGGTGACTCAGTACAAGTGTAGCCATCTGTGTGTAAAAGCAGTTAATAAAGTAAACTCACAATGGGTATGGCTAGTACATACATGCCATGCCCATCAGATTTGGATTAATAGGAATTTATATACAGTTATATACAAGGCTGCTACTCCCATGTATTCAGTACTTCCATCTTGTGTGTCATGCTTCAAGACATTCACACTAGCAGAGGGCCATATGGCAATGTGAGTAGTTGACATGAGGAGACTGATCATATAAACTAGAGTGAATGTTATTACAGGTTCATAACAGCAGCAAGGGAGTGCATTTTTTTGGTGCGTGACATCTAGGAATAGTAGGCAAATGATTTATGTGCTTTTAGAGAAGACATTAGCCAGTCAGAGCAATACATGGTCCATTCTCCCTAACACAATGCCCAAAGGCATGTGATGTGTGGGCATGAAGGGTACCCTATGAACTACATCATAACATATAAGGAATGCATTATAATAATTTGACATAAATGACTCATCCTCCATATCCGTGACCAAGTCAGCCATAATGGGAATAGCATATTATCCAGAGCTGCAACTAAGTCGGCTAGGAACCACACATTATCTGGAGCCATTGGGTTATGTCAATTGACTAATAGAACTTCCAATGAGAAAACATCAAAAAGAGGGTGACAGTGATAATAGCATAAGAGATGAAATGGTGAAAATAATGAGTGTTAGAAATGAATAGTTTAGTTATTATGTATTTGGTTACAGTTATATTTCACAAAAGTTTCTGTGCCTTAAAAACTAGCAAATAGTATTTTGCACTTACTCAAATAAAGGGAAAGTGAATAAATATAGTTGCTGTTTGAGTTTATTTTCATAATCAGAACATGATTATTTTCAGGTGAAACATGCTATGATGCAGTTGTATGTATTAAAACTATTAAAGATGCAGACAAAATATCTGGGTCGACAGTGGCGTAAAACCAACATGAAGACCATGAGTGCCATCTATCAAAAGGTATACCATGTCTGGTGCAACAGGTTTTGCTTTGAATAGCCTGTCTGGAAAATGATGTGTTTATTGAACATAGGAAGACATTAAATGTTAAATTGGTTTAGGCAGAAATGACTATTGATATTTCCTCAATTTTCAGGTGAGACACAGATTGAATGATGACTGGGCTTATGGCAATGATCCTGATGCAAGACCATGGGATTTCCAAGCTGAAGAATGTGCTCTAAGAGCATGTGTTGATAGATTCAATTCACGAAGATATAATAATACAGTAGTAAGTGAAAACCTCCATCTGCCTGAGTTAGACACACCTTCAGTCTGTTAAAAAGTGTGTGTGAGAGTGAATATGTGTGTGTGTGTGTTTGATTGTGTTTGTCTTTCTGGTTGTAAATGTTTTAATTGTTTTTTTCAGTGCTTTGAATTAGTTGTACACACTATCACCAATAGAACATGTATCCTTATGAATACTTAAAAATATAAAAGAATATTTAATGAATTTAGAGACTATACAAATGTTAATGGATTTTTTATGGTTAGTTGTTTTCTCTTTAACCCAATCATGACAGGAGCCCATAGAGTCATACTGAACAATGCTTTAGGGTGCAGGTAGAATCAGCTGCGGAAGAGAAAAATCAGAAGGATGGGAAGCAAAATTAACCCACTATCTTTTCTCTTAGCTGGAATATTTTTTATTCATTAAGCAAAAAAAGTTTTAAAGCCTACTTTTAAAGAGCTATTTCTCCTCAATGAATGCAACCAGGACAAAACAAGATGTTTAGCAGATTTACTTTAGAGCAGGGTTGACCAAGCGTGATGTGATGACAATGTCCCATTGTGAGGAATGACCTAATATAATATGATAGAATGTCTTAGGACGACTTTCTGATATGATTGGATTGACCCCTTGGATCCAGGTGCTTCACCCAAAATATGGGCATTAGACTTACTTCAGTGGCCACTCTGTCAGGTCACATAAACATTCTTGTGTGGTGAGAAGATGCCTTCCCTTTCTCTTTTTCCACATAAGCAGTTTTAGCATTTTTGCCATTTTCCAAAGTCTATATTTGTGTGATTTGCTTCATCCAGATGGTTATGGACTGTTATCCTTGCACAGACTCCATCTCTCTCTAGGTAGTCCATAACTTGGTGCAGTAATAATAATAATAATAATGATAATAATAAGTAATATTGTTGTTTGTGAATAGGATCCTGAGCATGGAAATAAAGTCCTTCCGGAGCTCGTGCTCAGATGGTACATTCCAAACTTGTTTATCTATGGAATATGCAAAAGCCTAACTAAATATCCACTGAGTCTAATCACCATTGAGAGCGTTGTGCTGTCACTCCTGTCACTCTGGCCTTTAGCCAAATTTTCACATGATGGCATATTCATACCTCTCTAGCTGAATTTTTTCATGATGTGATGTGATGGTCACATCATCTGGATCATTGGGGTTAATTAACTTGAAAATAAAGAAAAAAAAATCTATAACCTGGATGATTTCTATGTAGTTTCATATATATTCTCTATTATTGCAGCAAGATCCGGATTTTGAACCACTAGACAATTGTGTTACTAGTGTACTTGGTCGCCCAGTAGAACTAACTGAGGAATTCAAGAGGCATTATGAAGTCTGGCTACAGCAAGAAGTATTTTCAGCTTCTATAGATTGGGACCAGCTACTAGCACCCAGCACCTAAGAGCAAGATTATATTTTATGATAATATGAAAAAGAATACACAATTTTAATTCCCAGGTACATACTTGTATTGAGTCAATTCAGTGAATGTTGATCAAAGATAGATCCTAACAGTGTAATCTCAAGAGTTTAAAATTGATTGTGATAAAAGTCAGTCTGAATGTTTAACATTTTTTTTATAATTTAGTATAGATAAAAAACAACTTTTGTTTGGTTGCTTGATCAGATGCTTTTGAAGTCTGTAACTAAAAGCTAAGTCAAGAAGTTTGAGAATTTTTTGATGGTTACCCTTTTGTACTCCCTCTCTGGTACAAACTCAATTGTAGGAGGTGGTATATTAATCCATTATCCTGAATGACCTTCTGTTTTGTTTTTATAGTTAGGAATCCCTTTTTAATTCTAGTCGATGAACAAGCTGCTCATTTGAGTCTGTGACCAAAACCCCAGTGTTGATGTTTGGATGAGAGTTTGTTACCAATTATAGGTATTAGAAAATTGTATTAGGAGTATATTAGGATGTAAGAAGATGTAGATTTGGCATCTTTTTAGCTGTATTCTTTTATTTTACTTACAATATGAGTGGGAGACAATGTTGGGTACCCTACAAAAAGCTTTTATAACCTTTGTTATAAAGGATGGGCTCTAAGTTTCTGTTAATGGTAAACTATCTATTAAGTGTAATTAATTTATCTCATTTCTGTTAATACTAGCTAATGAAACATTGAAATGAGCTAATTTTATTGAAGAAAATATGCAGTGCAGAAGCAACAGAAATAGTGCAGATGCATATTATCAAATGTTGACTTTGAAACATTCTTAACCCAATGCTTCTATATATATATATATACTGCTAAAGCCATCGTTTTGATTTTGGTATATGAAATAATAAGGCCTTAATACTGTTCTTCAGCATCCAGCCACCATGGTGCCAAGTCCACATTATTGAACTGTGATTGGACTTATGTAATGGTGGCACAATATGTATTCACAGTAAGATGGACATTGTCAACATGGCATGCCATACCTATTATCTAGAGGCAAAGGGTTAAGATATGTTATAGGTGCGGAGTGCTGAAATTTATTGTTGGACTCTTGCTAGCCATTCATTATGTTGAAAGTTGATCTTGTTTAATGAAATGATACCAAGAAAATGTAATGTTCACTGTAGTGTTATTTTGTGAAATGTCTCTACACAGATGGCTCCAGAAGTGCTCATCCACCAGGGAGTCGATTAGTAGACCTCTGGACCTCACCTGTTTTCACCTTTCCTTGAGTTTTCAGGAAAAAATTGTATAATTTTTTCATAGAGCTATTAGTATCAATAATGTTATTATTAATTTAGATGTTATCATGATTATGATGTTATTAACATTACTAATAACAATATGAGATAAAGTATTTCCAAAAATCAAGGATAAGGATGAACAGATGAGATTGATTCATTATGCACTTGTAGAGCCATTTAGTAGTGTAAAGACAGTTAATAAACTAAACTAACAGTTAGCATAGCATATTTGTACATGGCAGCAGTATGTTGATTACCAGACCTAGATTTGATTATGTTTCAAGAGATATTTGAATGCATAATGAACATTTTGTGAAATGTTAAAGTCTCGGGTCTTCTTTATTCTTACCTCTAAGTATAATAAAAATGTCCTGCAATAATTTTTGCTTTCATTTGTGTTGTTCTAGACTTTCTGAAAAAAAAAAAATCAGAAAATTGACTGTTCTCATTTTATAA